CTGTTTTTTTTTTTAAAGATAATTCCCCAAGTCAAAAATTTAGTAACTATGTTGGCAACACAAGCCTTTTCTACATAAAAATTTGAAAGCATTGACAATTTTACATTGTATTGCCAACATAATGTCATTTTGACTTATATCTTAAAAAAAAAACAGATTTCACTTATTTTTGGAACTACTAAACAGGAGATTTTCTTTGCAAAGCTGTTATGGAGCGACTGAATTTGAACTTCACATTTGTATTTTAAACAAGAAATAGTTTGGTTAATACCAACGACAGAAACATTAATATTCTCTTTTGAAATTCCTAAAGTATTGCAAAGTTTTTTCGTCACAAAATTCGATTGAGACCCAGATTCCAGAAGTAGGTACTCTACACGTAAGTAAGCTACCAGCAGAGGTCACAACTTGCACCAAGACTGTCGCTAACAAAATGTCACTATGAGCATTGCAAGCTGATGACATCGAAATGATATTTTGATCCTCAGATAGAACCCCACCACTTTCTTCGAACCTATTCGAAGCAAATTATTATTACTAGAATTGCTCGTATTAGGTTTTTCATGGGAAGAGACTTTTTTAGGATAATGCAATAGGGGGTGTTTCAATCGGCATTTTTGGCAACCACTGGATTTACAATCCCTACTCACATGATTCATTCTTAAGCAGTTTAGACAAAGCCTCAAAGCTTTCGCCTTTTCATATCTATCATATACTGACAGCTTTAGGAAGACCTCACAATTTACTACACCATGATCACCTTTGCAAACAAGACACGAAAAAGACAAGCTACCAAAATGCACCTTCCTTTCCTTTGAACTATTAGACTCCAATGTTTCCAACAGCTCGGCTTTCGATTTTAGGAAGGACTTAAATTCATCCAGGGTTGGCAAATTATTCTTTTTCTTGTGTTCTTGCCATTCACGAGCTGTGTAGAGGAATCCAATTTGTTGCACATAAAGTAGATAATGATTATGTCCCAAGAATCAACATTGATAGAAAGAGCCTCCAAAGATCGAACACCCTTTACAATACCATTCAGCCATAAATGAATGTCATTTGAACTTTCCTTTGACATATTAGGAATGCCAAATAATGTTTTTGAATAATTGTTGAAAAGAACAGCTTTATTGTCATACCGTTCACACAATAACTCCCACGCAAAGTCATAATTTGCAGAGCAGTCTCTAGATTTTGCAATATATTTTTAGCTTTACCATCTAAGGAACCTCTCAAGAAATGGAATTTTTCAATTTTTGATACCTTATCATTTTCATGGACTTATGACTTGAAGGTGTCACGAAACTCAAGCCAACTGCCATGGTCGCCAGAAAATTTTGGGATAGGGATTGAGGGAAGTCTTGAACCTGCCTGTAAATAATGGGCTCTTTCACTAATTTTTGAAATTGGCATATTTGGATAAAGCAACTAAAAACAGAATTTTCTGTATTTTTACTTTTGAAAAATTCAAAGTCCTTCTTGAGAAAACAGAAAACAAAGAAATACCTCCAAATAAAAACCCAGAATTTATTTCTATGACGTCGCAGCTCGCAATTTGACCGTGTTGCCACTAATTGTCAACATTGAAAATTTGTAATAGATTTAATTCTGAAATGTTGGCAAAATCTCATGAAAAGTAGTTAAATTAATTAGTTATAGATTCAAGATTTTATAACATTTTTTTTTTAAATTATGCTTAAATACAATTTAATGCAATTTTTTATGTTTAGTTTTATTTATTTATTTTACGCTGCACTACATTTAGTCACAACCGACAACAGCGCATTCGAACCTTTACGTATCTTTACAGAGCGCAAACACAGCCGAGCCCTTCCTCCTTGCAACGACATAAGCGAAATGAAGAATATTTATGTGACGTCGGCAAATCGGCGCGTTTTAAAATAGTTTGAATTTATGCACTTTTGATTGCCTATGAAAAACTTATTGAACCTTGTAGAACATTTTTTTTTTGGTATATATGCCTAAAATAGTCCCTCCTTTGAGATTTTATACTTAAATTACGTATTTAAATTTTAGTGAAAGAGCCCATTATTTTGATTTTCAGCGTTGAGTGCTCCTGCAGATATTGCAGAATGTACAGAGGCTGAGTGTACGCTACCGTTTTGCGACAAATTGTCTTTATTATTTGTATAACAAAATATGTATTTAATACATCTTTTGCAGAACCAACAAGCCCATAGTAAAAATTTTCGAAAATTTCTGGTTCCAAAAATTGCTCGTCAAAATTACCGTGGTTTAATTCAGTATAGTTTTGATAGGTATCAAATTCTGAAAAAACCTCTATCAATTTATCCAATCTGGCCTCCAAGTCAATAAGCTGAGCATTCTGAAAGGGACTAGTATGTGAGTCATAGTTTACTAATTTGCTCAGGAGAGCATGTACAAATTTTTGAAAGGATGTTAGTTTGGCCTGGCAAATTCCACGCTTTTTAATGTTTAACTTTAGCTCTTTCTCATTTTACAGAATTTATTATTATTAAAGGGTCAAAACTATCAATAGGGTACAAACCAGAAATCAACAAATGTACAATATTATGCCACAAATGATAATCTAACCTATTTACATCAAAATATAAAATCCTATATACAACTTACAGTACCAAACACTACTTCAAAGCCAAGACAATATACAATAATAGCCAAATATATACGTATACCTAATATGATGATAATATTCACCAATAAATATTGTAGGTACCTACCCAAAGTGAAGCCACTACTTACCAATACCAAATTAATTTTAATTTTATTAATAATAAAGGATACAAATGCTCATTTCTCCAATCCAATACACCAATGTAAAACAGTTCCATCAATTTCCAATATTCCTAGTTCCAGTTTTCCAAGCCAATATTCCAATTTTCCGAGCCAATATTCCAATTTTCCTAACCAATATTCAAATTTCCAATTTTCCAAACCAATATTTGAATTTCCAATTTTTCAAGCCAATTTTCACAATTTAGGACGAATTCATCCGTTTCCGAAGGACCATAAATATGTCAGGCTTCGCCTGAGCAGCATTTATTGTCTGTTAACACTTTTTGTAAATTAAAACAAACTTTTGTAAGTAGAAAAAGGCCATTTTATTTCTCCTTTTTACAAGAAATCAAAGCAACAATAACCAGCCAATTCTAGAATAATTATTCTCCATCTTGTTGCTGAATATTGATCGATATTGACAGACTTCAAATATCATACTATTTTTCGCTGCGGAGCAGCACCTAGCTAACAAGCACGTGTAGAGCGATGTTGCCGTATTGATCTTAACTAAAGCCAATTATAGGAAAAACTATTCCATATTAAACAGTTTCCTATGTACAGTTTTTGAATACTCGTAAAGTTTTGTATATTTTCGTATGGTTCGGTTCTCCATTCGTAAGTCGATCGAGTGTACGCCACTGGTATTTTCCTGTTTTTGACTAACCTCTCCAGCTTTCCATGTTAGTATGAATTCAATCCTATGTACAGTTTTTGAATAATCATACAGTTTCTCTTATCAGTAGAGCCAAAAACAAACAAAAAAACAATATGTCAATTTCCGCACGCTCGTAGGAAAAATGTTGTACCTAACACGAGCGTAAAGTATCTTTTCCGCACTTACGACTTGCATGAACTCCGCTGGCGCGTCGTTCGTGCAAACGTCGTTGCGTGCGGAAAAGTACAGCCAACGAAATTTACACGCTTTATGTAGTTAAATCTGACACATGTGGTATATATTCCCTGAGCCAGTTGGCTGTGCCCATGAAACTTGAAGGTCTTTTTTGGATTTGGGAGTTTGAAAGTTCTGTACTGCTATAACATGCTTTTCTTGAGGTATAATGTGGCTATACCCGGTATATGGTGACTCAAGTAGTCGAGTTCCGATGTAGCAAATTGGAACTTATCTCGAGAAATTTTTAAATTATGTTTTCTTAGTCTTTCGAAGACTAATTGTAGGTGATTAAGATGACTTTTTATGTCAGAGGAGTATATAATTATATCATCGAAATAAACTTTGCAAAATACATTGAACAACCCACAGAGAACTTCATTAGTCATTAAGCGCTGAAACGTTCCAGGCGCGTTTTTCAAGCCAAAAGGCATCACTGTGAAGTGATAAAGTCAGGAGTGGAAAATGTAGTATATTGCTTTGGAAGAGTCCTCGAGGGGAACCTACCAATAACCTGATTTTAGATCAAGCGCAGAGAAGATGGTGCAACATCCGAGATCCTTCAAGGTATCTGAAATCTTTGGCAAGATTGAAGGCTTATGTAAACTAATGCTATTTATTAATCGAAAGTACACACAGAAACGGAGTTTTTTTAGTACGACTAAGATAATTTCATCAAACTAGTACCTACTAATTTTTAGCCTTGAATAATGATCAATCAATAGCCAATTTATCAGAGAAAATTCAAACTTACCCATGAAATAGTTTTCACTACAAGATTTATTGTCAACCCTCAAAAACCTTCCAGTTTCAAATCAAAATGAAATACAAAAGAACACTCATTTTGCTATAATCATATTTTACCTTGATTTAATCCCTTTATTATTCAACAGTTCCAAACCCCTGGAACACTATCCTAGTTATTGAATACTACCACTAATTGAAAATTTTCATCAAAGACCCATCTGTTTCAAGTCTCATATTGAATTATTAAAAAGAGTCGTCCTATTTATATATTTTTCGTCTTTAAATATTAATAAAGCATTTGCGAGCACGAATTGACAGCTTCTTTACAATTCCGACTTGGGGAAAAGTTCACCCATCGATATATCGTTACCGATGTAATAAATTTATACGAATATTCGTCTTTGAGTTATTGTGAGGATCAAGTATTTACAAGAACAAAAAATAAATAGAGAAGAATTTTCCAGTACATTCAATTTGAATATGATACCTTTTCTGTTCCCAGACAAAGAGCAGCAGCGAGAAACAAATCCATCTTACCAATCTAACATTCGCTGCCGGAGGGCCTTATTACTGTGTAGTCTCCATGGAAACTCCGAGCATATTTACCAAAGATTCCGAAGTAAAAGATCTGACAATCATAGGTGCGTATCGTGAATATACGGAAATAAGGATTCAATATTTGTATGTATCTGTATTTAGATCCGCAAGAAGACGACCCGAAAATTACTTTTAGAAAGGAGACTTACTATATTGGAGAAATGCTTGAAGCTAATTGTACTACTTCGCCTGCCAAGCCTCCTCCGCACATTACTTGGTTGATTAATGATGAAAAGGTAAGTATAATGAGGGTTTTTTTCAAAAATATCAAGGAAATTACTTTAAAATTGATACTAGTAGCCTGACATAGGCTGGAAATGGTTGTAAATTGTTGTAAAACATAAAAATACATTTTTATTTATTAAATCCCTGTTTCTATTTTGAAATAAAGAGAGAAATGCTTTATTTTTATTCTCAAAGGCATACCATCAAGAAAATTCCGAAAATATTGAAATTTTTGCACACATATTCAGTATGCTTCCTGTTTTTCGGTTGGAATGTACAGCAATCTTATTCTGGCTCATGCAATCTTTTACAAAGGGGTGTTTGATATCAATGCGTGCTTCGTTCTTTTTGATTCTTAAATAGAAGCCATTTTTATGCATGATTGATTATCTTCATAGATAGCAATAGGAAAAATATTATTTGTAAGTATGTGAAATCTCATAGGGCGCATTTGGCCCGAAAACATGTTTTCTGTTATACACGATGACAAATTGGGATCAACAATACTTAGCAAAATCAGAATCGACAAAAAAAAATTAAGTTTACATTTGCATTGTTACTTTTGATATATTTCAAACCCAAATTTTTGGTAAAGTTTAAATATCTTGAATCATTCTTCATGTAATTCCAATGATCTTCAGAGAAGGTTATATTTTATTATACATAAAACCAAAAAATTTAAAACAGCAAAATATCTTCCAATTCTGACAGCCTCCTCTACTTTTCTAAATTCACTACTTCACATCCGTTCAAAATGTCATTATTACGGACCACTGAAATCCGTACAGATAAAGAAACGCCCTATTCCTACTATTCCTGATAACTTATAAGTTTACTCATTTCAACACTTCCGATTCATTCCTATTAAACTACCCTTCACCTATCTCTAAAAATTCTTTAAAATCTCTAAGTCCTTTACTGGACTGCTTATGATAAACCCAAAATAATTACCTATTTGTTTATTAATATAGGTATTACTAACTCATTCTTATAAAACCTTACAATAATTTCTACACGAAATTTAAAACCCTAATTCAAAATTCATTTCATGAACAATAATTTTCCTTTAACAACTTTCCAATATTTTAAGACAACAATTCTATTTCATGAACATCAAGTTTCTTTTCAAAATTTCCTATTCCATTTAATAGTTCATTTAATTAGAACAAATTCTAGTTTCGGATTCCTAGCCTAGCTAATAAACCCAACTGTTTAATTCATAATTCATACTCAAAATTGCAGTCAAAAAGTTTTACTAGTCAAAATCACTCAAGCTCAAGGCATTAAAGTTCAAAGTTTAATCACACAAAGTCATGTTCATCATTTATAGACAAAATAAATCTTGTCACAATAGAGTACTTACATTTTGTCCATAAAACACAAAACTAAACTAATTTAATTCTTTTGATTACTTAGAGCTCGCACATAAGTTAATCGAATTTCAAATGTTATTTCTTTCACAATTTTCCGTACTTTTTCTAAGTTAAATCGAACGCGTTTTCCCCGAGGCCTTAATAAGAACTTTTCGCGAATTTCAACCCTTCTGACTCATTAGGTACTGGAGACTTTAACTCAAACTGGACTGGACTGCTAACAACTGGCAACTCAACTGACAACTGCCTTCCACTTCTAAAACCGCGGTATTTATATTTAATCGATCCCCCCAAATTTCTCTGTCTATGACAATTAAGATGATGCAATTTCCTTGAAATTTTTATCATTTTTTAGTTTAAAAATCGAATAAATATGTCGCAATATCCTGATTTATCGAGGTCAATACATTGGTTCAAGAATGCCATAAATCATTCGATTTAATTATTATGGCCTCGTTAAAAAAAGTTCATTGATCGGATGTTAGGTTTCGAATGTATTTGGGGGCACGTTAATTTATTCCATTTTCAATTTATCGATACTGATTTGGAAATAATGGAAATTCAGTTTTTGATTATTTGATATTATTTAATTTTTACAGTAAAGACATTGTGATTTACGGGTCCATTTTCTGGATCATTACAAAATAATTGAAAAATTTGCCAATATAGCCTCAAACCATCAATAGAACAGGTTGCTAAACCAAATGACCACATGTCAACGAGAATGCTGGAAGCTATAAAAGCTCTCAAAAATAAATTCTCTACTCTCAAATAAATAAGCACACTTGTGACATCACGAGCTTCCCAAACCTGAAGATGAATCCATAAATTAGGCATACTCTACACAAATAGAAATTTTAGATGTAAACATCCTAGAATCCTGGCAGAGCTTTCGATACATTCTCCTAAGAATATCAATTTGTTTTGGATAAATTGTTCGTATAATTTTAATTTGCCTCTAAAGCCGCTTAGCTTATTACAACAGTAATTACTATGCTGTACTTTATTTGGACCACTAAAATCCAACAAAACCACCGACCGACTGCATCGTTAAAAATAATCAACGATCGAACAATAAATTCAACCAGGAAACACGACCCTAAAGCACCTGGAAACGTAAATTCAATAGTAAAATCCAAATAGGAGAAAACTAACGTTTAATTTAAAGTAATAAAAACTTTTTTCAGTTATTATGGAAGAGTTCTGATTAGCTGGACGGCTGCTAAGGGGCCGGGTCCAATTAGGCGTGTCTGTTAAAAAGATTCGCCAAACAACTTTGGAAATTTCATTTAAAACTTTCGTTTTGGGAGCGAACATCGCTCACACGAAACTTTAATTGGGACGAAAGGAACTTCACCTTTTGTTAAAGGAAATTCTTTTTAATTGAGCTGGTAACAGTCGCACCGCAGAGTGCCCAGTTTAATTTTTAAACAAAACAGTTCACTAAGCTTTTTGTTGAGTACTTTTTTATAGTTTAAGGTATTTTCAATTGATCCTTTAAATGAGTTGACAAACTAAATATATCCAATGCTTAAATTGCATATTTGTAATTTGTTAATGGAATATTCTGTGTTCATGATGCCCTTTATAAATACTCCTAATTTACAAACAGAATGCAATTCTGTTTTGTGTTGCCACAAAAAATCTTTATTTACAATTCCAGAAGGGTTGAAATAATTAGTAAATGTCCAAAGTAAATTTCAGAAACGCAAAGGAATTGTAAATTTGGTGTTGGGTCTATGAGAGTTGAAGCCCCAGCCAGAAGGTACGAACGTGCCTTGAAATATTAACTTATTGCTCAACTTAAGTCTACCTAGTAAGCAAGGAGGAAAGGTGGAATTATTTCTATGGTGCATCTACAGCTCCTAGGAATTATAAATAATTTCAATAGAAGCTATATTTGGAAGTTTGATTACAAATTTCTCTGAAACTGTCTCGAAACATAGACTTGGCCCATTAATAATTTCCTAGTATCTTTTCTCTTCCGACATAAATTGTCTAAAATGTGTTTCTTTTTAGGTACGAGACTCGTTAACGAAATCCTTTTCCAACGGCCTGATTCACGGTCATGGCTATTTCGAAACCAGAGCTCCTTCCATTAAACAATTATCCATCGAAGTGTCGCAGCTTCACGCCGGCGACGACGGCAGATTGAGACTCACGTGCATGGCAACGATTCCCGGCTACGTGAATAACGAGAGCGACTATGCCGATATCAGGAATGCTACAGTCGAAAGTAAGTATACCTCTATTTATTTATTTGATTCGACTGAGTCTAATTTGAAACAATATGGAGCTTTGAAATTTAGAGTTTGCTCGCTATAGGTCAACTAGAATGCGGCCTGCTCATTCTTCCATTAAGTTTCAGATAGGGGTCTCACCTAAGGAAAGTTGGCTCTTCTTTATTCACAAAGTGCAAATTGGTTAAAATAAACAGACCCAGAGACCTACTTTCGGATTTGAGTAAATAATTGTCACAAAATATTTATATAAACTCTCTAGGGAATTAAAATGGCTCTCTATGTTTCCAGGGAAATTTACCGCTCATTAAATGTACAGCAACCATTTTGTTAATTAGTGTACAGATGGAAGGAGAAAGCTGTGTGTTTTTGCTTAATGTGTAACATCTCATTTTAGAAGGACAACTCAATTTAAATATAATGAAATTTTGAATTGCTAGCATTTCTGGATGTTTTAGTAGGTAATGAAACGACAAAATGAAAAATTCTTCATTAGTACACGGAAAAACAACGCTCACTGATATCTCAACAAATACCTATATTCTCCATATTTTTGTCTTATTGCAGAAGTCGCACCAAATCATTCACTCTAAATTTAGATTTTGCTAAAGGCATGCGATTTATACGAACCTTAGTCTCGATTTTTTTTTCATTAATGTCTAGAAACCTCTTTGAACCATCAGTACGATCCCAAGAATCTCCAACGCACGTTTCTGTGAATCAAATTGGTTCTCAAATGGACAAAGGGCATTCTTTTTGTTCTCGTTGGTGAAAATTATTTTCCGAAGTTTTCTCACCAGAATTTCTCCTCGTTCAAACCAGATCTTTAAACTTCTACTAAGTAAGGAGACTTACTAGTCGCCATCGCGATCATCATATCCCTTCCACTCAAGCTCTTCTTCGGATCTCGTCCCGGGTCTTGTGGCAGATAGGCGAAGGCCAGGATTGGGTACTTCTGCACGATCATTGCCATCACCCACGAAGATTCGGGCGACGCAAAGGTCTTGACTGCATAGTTGTGGAAGAATATTCACTCAAAAGTAACATCCATGGCTCTTGGATCAGTGTTTGGATTTTTGCCAAGGTAGCGTTGCACAAAACTTCAGAACAAAACGCTATCTTTGATAACAACCATTGAGGTAACATTTACATAAATTGGGAAAGTAACCTCGCTTGATAACAATCAATCAAAAAACGAGTGTTACTGTCACATACAAAACTGAAAGCATGCTGTAAGCTAAATACACTGCCTAACACATTACAAAATAACAAACTAGCTCAACATTATTTCAACACCCCCACCTTTTGTCATGTTGTTGTGTGTTGATTACAGAACATTCAAAAAAAAGAACTTAAACTCTATTTAAGATAATGAACTAATGGCCGTTTGCACCGACCATTTTAACGAAGCCTTAGCGATAAGTATTCCTTAAAATGACATTTTTACATGGAGAAATATCACTTAAAGGAATACTTATCGCTAAAACTCCCTTAAAATAGTCGGTACAAACGGCCATAAGTATCCTAAATTATAAATTTATCTTCTTTTGGTCTTGAATTCCCAATCTTCCTCAATATCAGCCTCCTGCTCCTTTGTACTTATATGTATGTATATTCTGGATTCAAATATCCAAGTTCATATTTTTCTTTGATAAAGGACCTCACACTGTGTGGGCCGCACAAATCTTATGGAAATTGGATTTATGTCAAATGGACAGTTTTTGAGAAAATCCATGTTAAAGAAATGCGTATTATCATTCTTGCATTTTTCATAAACCAGGTTAGCGGTGTTTCGGAGCGCGATGTTCAGGTGAATCGGTAGAGTCGTTGATTGCACTGGGGCGAGTTCAGGAATGACAGACTCAGTGTGAGTGTAACACCTGTGCGAATAAAATCGGACTCACGCCCTGTGCGATATTTCTGAACTCGCGCCTGCATGGAATTTCCGGTTCGATTCGTTTAGTTTGGAGAACTTTTTTTCCTCTATCATTTACACAACTAATATTTTTCTATTATTAATATTTCAATAAAACTGAAGGTTTGTAAATACATAATTATGGATAGACATAGTACATGATTAAACTAAGTATTTTCCTATTTATTTTAAGTTGAACATATTCATAGGCATCAGGCACTATGGGTATTGCCATACAAAACCGCTAAGCGCAGATGTTGCGACAATGTGAATTATCTTGTGTATTTTAGTCGTAACCAGAGGTAAAAGTTAAAGTGGCTATACTGTGTATACGCGTTACTTTTATTTATCTTGGATGTAGTATAGAACAAATAAAAATGAACGATGTGATTAAACCAAAAGTCAAATGATAAAAGTACAAGTACTGTCTTGTAGGAAAATTGAAGGAAATCCATTGCTCGTGTCCCCTCTTCTGCACCACGTAGTAATGTGCAGCCGCATTAGTTGGGGTTGAGTGGGGCTACACGCGTACGATGATGTTTAGCCAATAATAAATAGGAAAATACTTAAATTAATCGTTTACTTTGTCTATCCATAATTATGTATTCACAATGGGTCTTTCCCACGTTTTTTTTTATTTGCTTATCTGAAAGAGTAATCAAAATAAAGCTTAGAAATATTTTTTTTTTTCGGATTTTTTTGGTACCGGGAAAGGCCTTCAATTTTTAATTAAAATTCAAAATACTTAGGATGGTGACATCACGCGCCTAGATTTTCTATTGGCTGCTTTCTTCAAGTGTTGCCATGCGGTTGCTGATTTCACGAAATTTCTCTACGAATTGTGTTCTCAAGTCTCAAGAATTCGATATCGATAACCCATCGATTTCGCTCGATTCTCTATGAATTTAACCTTATTTTTGAAATGTAAACAAAGTCTAATTTAATTTTATTTATTTAAAAATATATAGCTGGAATCTGGAATGTACCTAATTAACTAAAATTGTGCCATTTCCTAGAACCCATTTACCTGAATTTTCGGTTTTTATTGGGGCCTCTCCTATAATTTTGTGCTAAACACAAAATGTAGCAATTTCGAATTTGCTTGGCCCTGAGAAAATAACAACATATATACCATTTAATTTTGTTTAAGAGTTTATTAAAATTGATAATGCTTCCAGGTTTATAGGTACAATATACATTACAAATGAAATATACATATAGCTAGGTATCAATTTATATAATAATATGTACAGAAATCACCTAATCCTACTTACTTCAATGATAATATGATACAATTAACTTTCAATTTATTTATTTACAGAAACTTGATTTTCAAAGTTTCAACAACAATAATAAAATATGTATAACAATGTAGTAGTAACAAAATTATCACAAAATATCCCTATTCTAGTTACATAATTCTAGGAATGTGTTTTTTAAACTGACAAAATTCAAATGAATCTAGATCATATTCATTGTATGTAAGTACCTACACATACATACAAGTGAGATTTTCGTTTTTCGGGCCCAATGGAGTTCTCTGTCAACACAATCTTTACCTATATTCTCAGCTAACGATGCTATTATTTGCTTCATCAGCTGTGACTCCTATTTGCTCTTATGTACTTTTGTGTTCTGGGGTTCTTCTACAGTTCTACACTGAACAGTAGGTACAATGTTGGCTTTCTCTTTTTAGTCTTCAGTTGTACATAACTAAACAGTATTGACTATATTCTGTTTTTGCTTTTGCTAATCTAAAAACCAAAATAAACCTTAGTAGAAGTAGGTAGGAACCTACTTTGGACAATATAGTTCTGTTGGTGAAAAATAACACAAAATAAATTTCACCTTTCCAATTTCGAATCTCTGTTCAACAACTTTGAATTTTAATCTTGATTTTAACACAACAGTCTTCACTCTTTGAAAATGTTTTATTTACAAAAGGTACCCTTTTAGGTTAGAATTCAATTGTCAAATAAATAGACTGGAATGGAAATCGATAAACCACATTTATGTCGATTTTTTTTTTTTCCTTTTCTATCTTGTTCATTCAACTAGAAAGAAAACATATCGATAGGGAACAGCTTCGGCCGGTAAATCGGGCAACTAAGCGCGTTCTGATTGGTGGAAAATCTGGCGGACTATTTCAAATATTACTATTTTTTTTCCTTTAATATCTCCCTCAATAATTTTTTTAAAAATCAACCACATAGCCCTTTAAGTATTTTATCGGATAAGCTTCCAAACCATATGAATGAAATACTTAAATTCAGTTGAATGGGAAAGACCCATTCTTTAGGCTTATTGAAATATTAATAATAACAAAAATAATAGTTGTGTGTAAATAATAGAGCAAAAAAAGTTCTCCAATATGAATCGCACTGAGTGTGTCATTCCAGAACTCGCCCCAGTGCAATCAAGAGAGTCTACCAACTCACCTGAACATCGCGTTCCGAAACACCACTAGCCGGTCTATGATACGCATTTCTTCAACATAGATTTTCTCAAAAACTGTCCATTTTTCGAATTTAGCGCAATGGTAACTTTTGATAAGGACCATGAATTCTACAAAATATCAAAAATTCAGCACATTTGGCATAAATCCAATTTCCATTAGATTTGTGCGGGGTCCTTTGAACTTGATATCTATATAGGCTTTGTTCTTTGGTGAAATTCAGAATTCTTGATTAATTCATTGGGACTTTAATTGTCAATAAAAAGTGTCATTTGTTTTCTGAACAGGTACTTCTTCATCTAAATCTAGAAACAATATTTCCAGCCATATCACCTCTTTAGTAGCTTGTGACGCAGCTATGAACTCTGAATCTGTGGTTGACAATGAAACCATTGGCTGTCGCCTACTAGACCAAGTTACAGGTCCGTTTGCTAAATTGAAAACATACCCCGTGGTGGCTCGACGAGTCTTTTTGTCAGTGGCATAGTCAACGTCACTAAATACATGTAGCTGGGTATTTTCTCCATATTTTTCTTAGCAAATACCGTAGTCTATGGTCCTTATTAAAGAGCGAATAATTCTCTTGACAGAATTCTAGTGTGAAGTTGCTTGTCTGTATGGCAATTCTTGTACTGCTCATTTACTGTCGTTCTCATTCGTAAAACACACATTAGGATCAACTGGTGTGATCACTGCATTAGCATCTTGTCGACCAAAACGTTGAATTTATTTGTTTTATGTAGTTCTTTTGACTCAGAACCATTTCTCCACTTTCAATATTTCGTGAAATTTCAAGTCCTACAAAATGATTGGCATCGGTTACTGTAATTTCAAAACACTTTTTTAGTTCACACAAAACTGTCTCAATTGCTGATTTTTCTGATGAAAATAACAAACCATCATCAACATAGATGATTAAAATCACTTTGTTATTGTTCACATAACATTTATAAACGCATTGATCAGGTGATGACATCAAAACTAGCCAAAAATTATACAAATTTTCGATTCCAACACCAGACTGTTTTAAATCATATACCGAATTTTGGAGTTTGCAAGCAAGTCCGGGAATGCACTGTAGTCCAAGCGGTGGCTGCTCTGATGGAGACGTACCTTGTAGTTGGTGCAAAAATTTCATTATAATCGACTCCTTCTTTGTGAGCGTAGCCCTTAACACACAATCTTGCTTTGAATCTCGAAGTTGTGCCGTCTGGTTTTCACTTAACTCTGAGCACCCACTTCGAATTTTTTTCTTCTTCTCTGGCAATTCAACCATTTTCTATGTTTCATTGATTAGTAGTGCTTCAAATTCTTCATCTATAGCTTTTTGCCACTGAACTTTTTTTTCACATGCTACTGCCTTGCTGTAGATCAGCAAAATATCCATCGCTGTGAAATTTAGGTACCTCATTGTTTTGTAATCTTGCTGGTAAGTTTGGTAAATTCACTCCCAGATTCTCCTGATCATTTACTTCCCCCTGTTCAATATCTTGCATTTCTTCTTGATCTTGTATATCAGATCTCATTTCTACTCTATCAAACACTGTGACGACATCACTTTCAATTTTTAGTTTAAATGATCTTGTTCTTCATTCTGTTTGACATTTTTAATTCTCTCATTAAAAACAACATTTATTGAATGTTTGGTACTGGCTTCTGTTCTGTACACATTTCGTAGGGTGTAGAGCCAGGTGCTTGTGTCTTTGTAACTCTATTTGCTACGTATATGGCAGTCTTACAGCCTCTGCCCATAAGTATTTTGGTATACCTGCCTGATATAACATACAACGAGCCATCTCAACAATCAGTCTATTATCTCGTTCTGTTCTGACCTCCTATTTTGCTCTGGTGTGTATGGTACGGTTGTCTCTTGCTCTATTCCTTCTTGCTTGATATATTTCTTGAACTCCTTGTTTATATATTCTGTGCCTCCATCTGTGTGCCACATCTTGACTGAGCGGCCAAACTTTGTTTTTATTTTTGCATTAAATGATTTGAAATATGTATTCGAAAACATCTGATTTGTGTCGTATAAAATAAGCTACTCGATAGTCTTTAAGAGTAACAAAGTATCGTCCTTCTTGCACAGATGGGGTTTGCATTGGTCCGCACATATTACTAAAAATTCTTTCTCCAGTTGCTAATTTCACATGTGGACTCTTTCTCATTTTTAATGGTTTCTTGTATTGCTTACCATGTAAACAAGGGTCACATACAAAGTTTTCTGTGCTCTTCACACTTACTCCTTTTATTAAATTTATTTTGATTAACTCTGTCAAGTACTTATTATTTATATGCCCTAGGCGTTCATGCTATAACTTTAAACTTTCCAACAAGCTTTGAGTTTTCATATACTTTTGCCTTACTATTTCTTTTTGTTACACGTCACACTCATTCCATCGTTTGTAATTACCCCTTCAGAAAATAAATTATTTTTTAGTTGAGGTACCTATAGCACTTTATTGATTGTCCCTGATTGTTGTCCAGTCCAGTTGATCAACTTCTGAATTTTTATACCTCCTTTTCCTCCGACAGTTGAGGTCTGATTGTTTCCTAGTGAAACATATGATTTAAAACTTTCATCCAAGTTAAAGAATTATTCTTTACGATAAGTCATATGAACTGATGCCCCGCTCTCCATAATCCATGAGTCTCCTGAGTAATCAAACTGCATCATCTCATTTCTGGTTTCTTCTGTATTGAAAGCTGTTTCATTATTTACATTGAAAGCATTTCCACCTAGATTTTTACTGTCCCATGAATTTCTTGGCTTTGATCTATCTGTATTGCCTCTAAAACTATGACTCATATGTGTTCTGCTTGAATTTCTACCTCTCATGTTTCCCCTATAGTTTTCATCCACATTGTTCTCTCCCTTCTCTGAACAGTTTCTTAATATGCCACTGGCGTAGCCAGGGGGGGGACAAGGGGGCATTTGCCCCCCCCCCCCCCCAAGACCCTTAATTTTTATGAATAATTCTTGAAAATTAAAATAAACAGTCCCAAAAATAGCGTGAAGAAACCTAAAAAAGAGGCGTGGCACTCAAAAATATCGCGCCTGCGGCGCTTTGACTTTGACAGCGGTCGCGGTGGGACCGCAAGAAACACTTCCTGCAAATTTGCCCCCCCCCCTCCCAAGACAAAATCCTGGCTACGCCACTGTAATATGCCCTCTCTTTCTACAGGAATAACACATTAGGTACCCCTCTTTTTTCATTAGCTTTCTTCAATGAAATGGTTGCAAGTGCCTGTTGGGCTTCTTTGTATGCTGTCAAACTACTCTTCTCATCTAACAATGCTTGAAGTTAAATTGTCTATGGTTTGTTTTCTACTGTTCAAAAATAACCAGGTTTGCCTTACATTTCTAAATTTATGTGATAAAGTACTTAAAATCTTTGTAATGATTGCCATGTCACTTACATCATCCCCTGCTTCTTTTATCTGCTTTGCAAGATTTTGTACTTTTCCTATATGTTGTGGAATACTGTCTGTTCGTAGCATCTTATACTGATGACGTTCATGAAATATCATTTTGTTTGTTTCCGATTTTTATTGAATGGCCTCCAATGTTTTTTTTCATTTCTTTGGCAAAATCACTATGTTCTACTAATGTTATTTTGCGCATTGTGCATTATTTGTATTCTATGCTTCTAACTCTTGTACCTGAGTTGAACCAAGCTTTGCTATAGTACCATCTAAATAAAATCAAATCAAATAATGCTTTGTTGTTCTATAACATTAAAAGTTTTTAACAAAGCTCTTAAGAGAAAAAGATTCGGAATGAAAGAACAAACAACACTAAAAACTTATAGCAAAGATGAAACTTTGGTGAGTACAAGCAATATTAAAAGAAGTTCCTAAAATAATAAAATAAAAATTAATTATAAAATAGCATACATAAACCCTTAAAATATATCAACGAACATCAATATTGAAAAACTTATCAAACATATGTATATATAAACATTCACATTATAAGCAGTCATATTATAGACAGATGCATATAACAGTTATAACAAAAGTAGCTTTGGAAAATACTAGAGTAAGCCACCCTTGGAGGAAGCAAATGCACCATCACTCGTCAGTTTCAGACCTTTAGTGCATCCTCAAAAAATTCCGTAGCAGGCCTTTGTAATGAGCAACCTCTCCAGCTGCATTTTGAATATTCTGGGGGAAGCCGAGTTTTTAATATCAAGGGGAAGGTGGTTGAAGATATTAACACTCTCATAGAAGATAGACTTCTTTGTTAAAGCAGAAGCAGGTCGTGGAAGACGCAAGATCATGTGATTCCTGCTTGGATATTGGGGGTTTCTCATCATGAATGACTTAAAGGCGATGCAAGCAGTTTCAAGGATGTATAGACATGGGAGAGTTAATATTTTCTCCCGAAGAAAAAGTGGTCGACATGAATCCCGGGAATTGGCCCTTAAAATGTCTCGTAAATTTATATGTCAGGTTTGATCTCAGCTGGAGTACTATCTATAAAAATATCTGCAAAGTACACTTAAAACATACCAGCTTTGTTTTTGTAGGATTCAATGTTAATAGGTTAGAGTCGCATCAAGTCTTCACAGTCTGGAGAGCCTATGAGGCCATATCTCTAAGTGCAAATTTAAACTGAAACTTCCAACACTGAAACTTTGATCCATCATACCATTGATAGTCGCCATGTCTATTTTATTGCCTTTTTTTACTTACTCGAAGTCTTTTACTACGACGACAAACGCGATTTGAGTTCTTTACATACAGGACAGACCGAGGAACTGAGTAATAACACCCTTTTTTTAGGCTAATATCTAGCGTGATCTGGGCCCATAACCTATTAAACTAAGCCTTGCTTAATAACAGAATGTGGTTCGACTGGCTGGTTGAATTATGCCTTTTTCTGGACTTAAAATGAAGCACTCAATATTCTGCTAACTGTTTTAATACACAATTAAACAATTCAACTGTGTACAGAAAACAAAACATACTTTCACCTAGTAACTGTAACAAAACGCTATCTTTGATAACAATTGGGAACGTAATGATAACAATCAATCAAAAAAAAAACACAAAAAAAAGGATACACTGCTTAACACAAAACAACATTACAAAATTATAACTAAACTCAATAATAACACCTCACACCGATCTATTAAAAAAGCTCTTGTGGATGGAGAGGTAGAAACTCCCATTATAGAATAGACAGAAGCCATGCTAAAACATCGATCAGTATTGGCGGACTTCAACGGCGAAACAGTTACTCTTCACGGTTTAACGCTGCACGTAAGGTGGTGTCGTTTCGTCTCTTTGGTGGAAACTAGTGGTAAACAGCATCCTTACCAGACTGATAGCGGAATAACTGTCCTAGGCTACGCAGATGATCTGGCGCTAATAATCAGAGGAAAGCATGAGGGCATGCAAAGTGCCTTGAATATAATCAAAAACTGCAGCGAGGAAGGACTTTCCATAAACCCCAGCGAAAGTACCCTAGTTCTTTTTATGACAAGAAGGAAGCTGGATCTGCGAGTTCCCACTCTTAACGACACACAATTATTTCTCTCGGATGAAGATAAGTATTTAAGGGTCACTCTGAACCGCAAACTTACTGAAAAAATAGTATCACGACCTACGGCGACCACTTGGACACGCTGCAAACTCGTGAGAAAAATGGGGGATAAAACCATAAATGGTATTTTGGAATGACCAAACGGTTGTCAGACCGATTGTCACCAACGCCTCGTTGGTATGGTGGTCAAAGTCTGAGCAAATTACTGCACAGAACAGTCTAGGTAAAGTACAAATACTAATCTGCCTTAGGAATAACAGGGGGCTATGTCAACCTGCCCCACCGCAGCCTTAGAGGTATTGCTTGAACATGCCTCTTCTTCATCTATATGTGAAAAAAAGAGGCAAGAATAGATGCCTATTGGCAGACAAAAAGATTTAAACCTGGTGATCTGAATGGCCACTTACGCATTTTTCAGTCTACAATGCTCGAGTGCCAAATGAAACCAACAGATCATATGACAACATCACTGGACCTTGAATTTCCATATGAAGCGGTTGTAGAAGAACCGCAATCATGAAAGAACGCAAAGCTACTGCAAGCTGACAACGCATCACTGTAGTACACGGATGGTTCGAAGCTAAGGGAAGGAGTCAGTCTGCGAATAACTGGATCAAATTTTAAAGTTTCCTTAGCAATGGATAAAACGTCCACAATACATGTTTCAAACTGAGATACTGGCCATAAACATCTGAGCCGAGTGCCTTAAAAAGGCCCTTTGAGAGAGCATATTTACATACTGTCCGACAGTCAAGGGGCTCTAAAGGCCTTAGGAGCCATCAAGTTGAGGAAAACCACCTATTTAAAATATTATTTCTTCAAATCTAAACTTAAAAAAAAAAAACGTTTAGTGAATAAAAGTAAATGTTGCAACCATATAATGCGCCGTGAAGTTTAAGTTTATGGGAACGGAGGGCGCGCCACAAAAAAAAAAACGAAAGTACCGAAGAAATGGGTATACTAGATAAGAAGCGGGGCTCTGGACTGGTCCCTTAGACCGTTTGTCTGTCATTGTTCATTTTTCAATTTTTATTTTGTAATAAACTGATTGTTCAATCCAATTTGTGATTAGTGTGTGTGTCAAGGAGCGATCACAGGTCAGTGTATCTTTTTAACAAAAATCACACAGATAGAGTAAATTAAAACCAAAGAAAAATTATGTGCTAGGATTGTGATTTTTGGATTTAGAGCGTGCATTAGGGCCTTGTTGAATTTGCTAACATTTTCCTACCCTGACGAGAGAATATCCTAGCAATTGAAATAATCAATCTAGAGATACCGGCTCAAAAACAACTATAGCTGAGTAGCTTCCCGTATGGGACCTCAGTACCTGCTGGGAAACTGGCTAAATAACCAAAAAACTCTTCAGTATTGAATATCGGTAGTATTGATTGAATGTAGTGTGTGAAATTGAAATTAATGACTCACAATTATTATTAAAATGGCACAGTATGTTTTGATTTTCGAGGAATGTAGATCGAAGGTTTCTCTGCCGTGCTCTTTCCCCTCGTTAGTTTCAGGATGAGAACGGTACGATTTACTTTAAAAATAAAGTAGACGTTTCACAAATTTTTCATTTATTTTACATATCACAACCTCCTAGTCTGGGAGACGACCGCATTTTTCCTACCCCGATCGAGTTATGTGTCGACACTATTATCAATATATAGTATTATGTGCATCTATTAACCTGTATTCCTGCCTGAGAGCAAATGCTGCCGGAAATATCTTTTAACAAATTATTAACAAATTGAAAAAAACGTAACACTACCCCCATCGAGTTATGCCCTAAGTAGGGTATCAGATTGAAGGTCTCGATGTCCCCTATCTAAAAAGTCGATCCTGCCTCGTGAGAACTTGCCGGAAAAGGGTGGCAGGACAGCTTATTGGGGCAAGGGCCCGCGGTCTCTGCTTTGACACCTATCAAGCTTTGCACTAAATGATGTGTCAAATTAAAGGTGTCAATAAGTTGATTTAAGGTCTGTTCGCACAGAAATCACAAACCAGTCGGAGCGAATTTCATTGGTTAGAAACAGTCAGGAAACTAGTTTCAACCAATGAAATTCACTTCTTCTGGTTTGGGATTTCTGTGCGAAGAGACCTTAAATCAACTTATTAACACCTTTAATTTGACACATCATTCAGGGTAAAAATTAATAGGTGTCAAAGCTGAGACCGCGGGCCCTTGCCCCAATAAGCTGCCCTGCCACCCTTTTCCGGCAAGTTCTCACGAGGCAGGATCGACTTTTTAGATAGGAGACATCGAGACCTTCAATCTGATACCCTACTTAGGGCATAACTCGATGGGGGTAGTGTTACGTTTTTCTCAATTTGTTAATAATTTGTTAAAAGATATTTCCGGCAGCATTTGCTCTCAGGCAGGAATACCGGTTAATAGATGCACATAATACTATATATCAATAATAGTATCGACAAATAACTCGATCGGGGTAGGAAAAATGCGGTCGTCTCCCTAACTAACCCTTAAATTTCCCTAATATTTGCTATGTCGGGCGCAGTTCCAGTAAGTAAAATTGAGTAAGTCTCCACAACGTAGGTCCTATTTGTTTTCCATTTCGTTTTTCAGAAGATTTGTTGTTTGAAAGGTGATAAAAATTCACACCGTTCAATCTTGCTGAACGAACCCAGGTATGTTATACTAAAAAGTGCAATTCGTAGCCAGGCATAGAGGGCAAGGAGAAGGCAGAACGTCTTGCAAAGCAAGGCGCTGTCAACCTTTTCAATTCCCAGGGCCTTTTTGTGGACTAATGAAAAGCCACATCTCACAAATGAACAGATGGGAAAAGGATTGAATGCTAGCTCATTGGAAATCCATCCCGGGTCTGAGATAGGCAAAAAGATTCATATCCATCTCAGCAAAGATATTCGAACAACTTATTGACATGAACAGAAGAGACATTAGAACAGTCGTTGGACTGATCACTAGACACTGCCTGGTGAAATATCACCTAAAAACAATAATCGAATCAGACAACGACCACTATAGAACAAGAAACAGAAACTACAGAACATTTAATCTGTTAATGCCCTGCAAAAAACTGAAATACCTTGAAAGGGTACGGCTAACACCCCAAGTGGTGGGAACTTTACCACCCAAGAAGCTGATTTCCTTTGGGACAAACCTACAAATCTTGGACACCAACTAAAAGCAGAGTCATGCACAAAATATCTGGAAAGGTAGCAGTGCTTGAGCGGATGGAACAGGCTATAACGATTCCAATTGCAATCTACAATAGCTTATCAAGGATATCAAGTA